CTTAAAGGCCAGTCCGTGAAAATATTGTCTGATATTAAACCGGTCCGTGGTGGAAAAAAGGTTGGGGACCGCTGAACTAGAAGACGAACAAAATCAACTAAGGGAGCTTCTGGAGGAGGAAAAGGACAGAAGGAAGAGTGCAGAGAACCAGCTTCAACCCGGTCAGACACAAATGTCAGAATTGGAAAAGAAATTGGAACAGGTGCATGAAATGGGGGCAGAGCTGGAGGAGGAGAGGAAACAGAAAGCTCTGGCTGTAGCAGCAAAGAAGAAGCTGGAGCTTGACCTGTCCGAGCAGGAAGCTCAACTCATCCAAGCCATTAAAGCTCGAGATGAAGCACAAGGACAGCTGAAGAGAGTACAGACTCAGTTAAAGGATCAGCTGCGGGATGTGGATGAACTCTGAGCAGTAAGAGATGCTGCACGGAGCAGCGCCGAAAAGGAGTGAACGCAAAGTCAAGAGTATGGAGGCGGAAAATGTGCGGTTCCATGAGGTTCTGTCTGCAGCTGATCACAGTCAAAAGCAGGTTCAGCAGGAGAGAAATGAGCTGCATAAGGAAGTGACCAGCTGTAACTCCCAGATATCTGCTTTGAACGATGAGAAGCGGTGGTTGGAGGCTCGTATTTCACAGCTGGAGGAGGAACTTGATGAGGAACAGGGCAACATTGAACTCGTCAATGACCGATTGAAGAAGGCAAATGCACAAGTGGACACGCTAGCGGGTGAGCGCAGCAAGGCTCAGAGGAGTGAGACTGCTTAGCAGCAGCTGGAGAGACAGAATGAGGATCTGACTGCCAAAATGCAGGAGCTGGAAGGCTCGGTCAAATCAAAGTCTCAAGTCCACGACATCCAAGACCAGACCCAGTCCCTAGTCCACGACGCCCAAGTCTAGACCCAGTCTCGTCTCGGACGCCCAAGTCCAAGCCCAGTCGCCTGTGCCTGACCGCCAAGTCATGTCTCAAGTTCAAGCTCAAGCCATGTCTCTTATCCAAGCCATGTCTCAAGCTCAAGCCACATCTCAAGCTCAAGCTCAAGCCATGTCTCCAGTTCAAGCCATGTCCCAAGCTCAAGCCATGTCTCTTGTCAAAGCCATGTCTCAAGCTCAAGCCATGTCTCTTGTCCAAGCCATGTCTCAAGCTCAAGCCATGTCTCTCGTCCAAGCCATGTCTCTCGTCCAAGCCATGTCTATCGTCCAGGCCATGTCTCTTGTCCAGGCCATGCCTCAAGCTCAAGCCATGTCTCTCATCCAGGCCATGTCTCTCGTTCAAGCCATGTCTCTCGTCCAGGCCTTGTCTCAAGCTCAAGCCATGTCTCTCACTCAAGCCATGTCTCGTCCAAGCCATGTTTCTCGCTCAAGCCATGTCTCTCACTCAAGCCATGTCTCGTCCAAGCCATGTTTCTCGTCCAAGCCATATCTCAAGCTCAAGCCACATTTCTAGTCCAAGCTATGTCGTTTGTCCAAGTCATGTCCCAGGTCTCAGCAGGCCAAGCGCAGGTCCTGTATAGAGTTCCCGACATCTCGTCCAAGCCAGCAGTTCCGGTAAATTCCGCTCGGCAGCCCTGTTTGGCTGAGGACGCCGCTCATCAGCCCTGTTCAGCTGAGGATGCCGCTCAGCATCCTCGTCCAGCTGAGGACATTGCTCAGCCCCCACGTCCAGCGGAGAACGTCGCTCATCCCCCACGTCCAGCGGAGGACGTCGCTCAGCCTCCATGTCCAGCTGGTGTCGTCGCCCAGCAGTCCCGTACAACTGAGGACATTGCACCGCTCCCAAGCGTTGATGAGAGCATCGCGCAGCCTGTCTGCCCGGCTGTAGTCCTGGCTCTGCCTCCCTGTTCCGCTAGGGACTTTGCTCTGCTCCTCTGCTCCAGGGACACCGTGCGGTTTCTTCCTGGTGCTGCTTGGGACATTTAGCCTGGGGGGCCGGGGCCGCCGATGAAGGGGGGGGACTCTTTGGGGGGGGGGGTCCTGTCACGATTCCCCCGTACAACAGTGTGCATTGAGCGCTGTTGCGCTTGCGCGGACCTCTTCCGGGTTGACGTCAAGTTTTCGTCTCGCCTCGTCAAGGGTCATAGTTCATTGGGTCACGTGTGTTTGGGAATTGCCGGCAGCTGCTAATGTTGTAGGTTAATGACTGAGAGATCTATATATATCGTGAGCCGTGCTCGAGACGGGGCGATTTGCTAAACAATTATAGCGATTTATGTATATGTTGTTTTGACATGTTTAGCGCTTATAGAGCGTCCTAGTTTCATGCCTGAGAGAAATAAGATTATCTGTCAGTATCCATTAATGCTCGGTAATCATCCAGAAGATCCTTCCACGCTTGATAGTAGACATTCAGTCCAGTAAGGTGCCATTTGCGCTCCATTTTCTGACAAGCAGCCTTTCTAGAGCACAGATTGTCATTATACCAGGGAGCAGAGCGGGCGAATGTAACCTTACGTGACTTTAGAGGAGCAAGAGAGCCAAGATTAGCAGCAAGAACATAATTTAACTACAAAACTTTCTCCTCCAGCGATGAGGGATGAAGATCGCTTAAGGTGGAAACAACAGAATTGGAGAAAACGGTCTGATCAATAGACTTCCACTTCCGGAAGGTTACTGTTCGGATGGTCGGCACACTTGGATGATACAGTTCCAGGTTTAAGAAGACAGCTGAATGGTCTGATAGTCCAATGTCAGCAGATGAAAACTGCGATACAAAAGATCCAGGGTGTGGCCTTTGTTATGAGTCTGGTCAGTTACAAACTGTGTGAAGTTAAAACAATCAATAAGTGATAGAAATTCCTTAACTGCCACAGTCACTCAGTCCACATGAATGTTAAAGTCTCCCACAATTAGAATTCTGTCAAACTTCATTCCCATCATAGACAGGAAGTCAGCAGACTCTGACATAAAAGCTGTATGTGTCTTAGCCTGTCTTAGACACAGAGCTTGTGTTGAACTTCAGGTTGTAAACCACAATAATGTCTCCACCTCTGCCAGATAACCTCGGGAGATCAAATACTCCAAAGTCCGCTGGAGTGATCTGGTTAAACAGGAGCCCATCATTTTCTTTATGCCAGGTTTCGGATAAAAACAACAAGTCCAGTTTATCTGTAAGAAAATCCGCTAAAACCAGCGCCTTGTTATTCACGGACCTCGCATTGAATAATGCGGCATAAGGCAGGCTCTGAAGCGGAGACGACAGTGGTTTAATCTCCATGCATTGGTTGTTTCTTGACCTTGCTATTGTCTCATGTTTTGGATTTGTCTGCCTGTGTCTCTCTAAATTAACTCTTATCTTTATTTGTATCTGTAATAACCTCCATTACGTACATCTCTTGACACCAATACAATGTTCTAAATGTCCAATCATTTTCTGTATAATCCTGTAAAAATGATAAAACAGTATTGTACATAAAATACTTTTTCTTAAAAAACGTTTTTTCAGTGTAAGTAGCCAAACAGGTGCAGAGTTTGGAGGCTATTTGCAGCTATTAAAAATGGAGGAGTATATAAGAATTCGGCGATGCCTCTGCCTCGTGTCCCTTCCTGCTCTGTGATGCCTCTTTGCGAGCGCCTAACTGAGGATGTCACAGGCAGGTCTTTGTAAGAAAAACAAAAAAAAAACAGCACTTGCAGCTAAAAAAGTGTGTGCCAGTCCATCCTGGCCCTCACACTCCTCTTTCTCTCATTCCCTCCATTCACACTTAGCGTGAATAAACAACCTTAATTGCGAAGGCTCATTAAGGGCTGGGCAGCTGAAGGCGGTCCCGAGCTAAAGAGGTCATGTGAAGCACCTATTCAGAGCGTCGAGCATGCCAGTTTGCTCGAAGCGCTCGCCACTAATTTTGTGTGATTATTTTCAGGAGCCCCTCCACAAGAGCAGATTAACAGCCCTGGTGCTTTATTCCTACCAGACATTAAGGCAAAAGAGACACTAAGGCTCTCTAATTGCCTTTTCATCCATCATTGACGTTGATTTTGTGTGTGCACTTCTTTTTTCTTTTTCTTTTTTTGTATTGTTTACCAGCCTCTTCAAACATGCAGATGTTGTGCAAGTTGATAATGAGTGGGAAGAAAATGTGCAAAAGGAACATTCTTTGATGAAATAGCTACGATGACACATGTCTGGCCATATTTCTGACCCAGTTGTTGCAGTGTGGCAATATTATTCTATTAATATATATTAATAATATACTGAAATGGCCATATATATATATATATATACTCACAGACACACACACAGACACTACTGGTCAAAAGTTTAAACACACTGATTCTTTAATGTTTTTATTTTCCCCACAGTTTAGAATAATAATAAAGTCATCAAAACTCCGGAGTAACACAAACTAAACTATGGGAATTATGCTGTGATCAAAAATCCAAAATAAATCAAAATAATTTTATATTTTATCATCTTCAAAGTAGACGTCGTTTTTGACGAGAATTCCCAGAAATGTATTCTTGACGTTTTCTCGAGCGATTTCTTGAGGAATTCCCCTGAGATGATTTTTAAACAGGATTAAAGGAGTTCCCACCTACACCGGACGCTTATCGGCTGCTTTTCGGAATATTTCACTCCAAGTCGTCCGTTTGAAAAATGTTTTCTTTTTTTTTTTTTTTAATAAAATGTTAGTTTTCTAATGAAAGAAATTAACATGCATGCCATTTTTAACATTTTAGTTGGGTGTCCACAAACATTTGACCAGCAGTGTGTATGTGTTTATATATCAGAGTTGCAACAACTAATCGATAAACTCGATAATAATCGGTTATGAAAATTGTTGTAATGAATCTCATTATGGATTAGTTGGTCTGTGCGCGGCACGGGGGAGATTTATTCATTTCGTTACTTCTGTTCCAAAAACACGCTTCGGAGAGTAAATACTAAAGTTGTGTCCCACATGAAGTACTGTACACTTACACTATGCACTTTGTACTATACCATGCTAATACTTTAGTGTACTCTACTCTAGTGTGTGGATTTTAGAAAGGTAATATCATCTAAATAGGGGCAGTGGTGGCTTGGTGGTTAAAGCTCTGAATTACTCATCAGAAGATCAGGGGTTCGAGCTCCAGCGCTGCCAAGCTGCCACTGTTGGGCCCTTGAGCAAGGCCCTCGCCCCTCTCTGCTCCAGGTATGCTGTATCATGGCTAACACTGTGCTCTAACCCCAACTTCCTGACATGCTGGGATAAATGAAGAAAAGAATTTTACTGTGCACATGTATATGCGATCAATAAAGACTCATTATCATTATCATTATCTCAAATGGAACACTAGCGTTTTTTTTATTAACCGAAAGTATAAGCCGTTTCCTAGTCGACGGTGCATGACGTCATACATAATGTACGTAATGTGATGCCGTTAGCATTAGCAGATACCCAGAGTCACTGATAATGACTTTCTTCAGTTCACTGTTTGTCATCCGTAACTAAAAAAAGTGTTGAATGTACGACGTGTCCTTTAATAAAATTGGAATTTAGTGTTAGGAACAAAACAAGGAAAATAAATAAGTAACATCATACCATTTTGTTGTTTGTTACTTATCCGAATAACAGCGTGTGATGACGTGTGTTATTAACAAATCTGTTACAACGCCCTTTCGTCAGCTCTCGTAATAGTTCATTTCGAAAAATTGTCAACGGTGGGACTTTTCGACGCCGAATGCGAGTGCTATTATCCTCCAGCATGTCAGGACTCTTTGTGTCTATTCATTCACCAAATGTTACACGCTCATCAGCTTTTTTCATCGCCGTGGTCAAGTACCTGCATTAGCATATATGTGATAAATGATGCTTGTCCCTCAGGTGCTCCCTCTGAAGAGAGGCGTAATGGCCACGCTTAGCCACTGATAGTCGGTTCATGTCACGTGAAGGCATGCATCTGGTGCTTTTATTGTTTTTGTTTGACTAGATGATGGAGAACGTGACTCTGGCACTACAGTGATAATGGACATAGGTCTTACTGAGCATTCACTTGTACTGTATTGGTGTTTGTGAGTTTTGGTGTGTGACTGGCACTGCAAAGTGGCAGCACGTTCCGACCGAGGTGTGTGTTCTGACCTGCTGGTGCCACTAATGAGAAAATGATTCGATTAAACTTACTACTAAACACTAATGTGTGGGTGTGTGGGGTATTTTTTTTTTTTGTATGGAGAATGAACATTGCACTAATTCGGTATTAAATTGTATTAGGCATTTCTCTCAGGCTCACTTTTAAACACTTTCTAGTGTTTATTTTTCTCCTCCTCTGCCCATCGACGGTGCCTTTGGGTTATTATTGGAACAGACAAGCAGGTGGGAGGAAGAAGCTCAAGTAAACGCCTCTTGTCATCTTTTTTTTTTTTTGTACTTGATTCTGTTCATCTTTCCATCTCATGGTGATCTGTGTGTGCTGGTGTGCATACAAGGGTGTAGATGTAAGCGTAATAAAAACATAGAGGTGTGTATTTTGCCTCCATATTAATGTTCACATGTTTCCACAAACATCTCCTGCGCCGCTTGTTAATGCGCCTGCGTGTGGTGTAAATAATCTGGAGTTGGAAGCTGTATGTCAGCAAGACCATGTGTCATTGTAGATTTATACGTCAGACTTTATTAACTGGGATTGTCAGAAGAGCATCATGTGGTGCTGAGAACATGTCTTACTCTGAACCTTGTTAAATATAGAGACGTACTTATTAATCTTTTATAGAGACCCTTCTGTGTCGGGGGGGATAAGAAAAAAAAAAACCCTGAAATACACAAAGCGATGCGATGCCCTCTTTCTTTTCCTCTTTTTTTCCTTCTTTCTCTCCATTTGCACAGCTGTTCAATCCCCTCATTGCAACACACAAACGAACAGACGTAACAGTGCTCTGTGCCAAGCCTTGGGAACGACATCTTCTCTGTCTTAGTCCTTTTCAGTTACCCTTAAATACATTTGAACACATTTGTATTTAGTGCAACGCCCTTTGAAGTGAATAGTTGTTCCGATCTAAAAATACGGCTATGAAGCCACTTGGGAACGAAGGACTAGAAAGAGGCTATGTCACATACTTATAGTAATTATAACTACATTCGGGTATCTGGGATGCTGGCTTGATTTCTAGCCCTTCCCGTATCATATATTTTCACCTCCTATTCCACCTTATCTTTCTCCCCCCTCCCTCCCTGCATCCATCCATCCATCTCGCCCTGCTTTTTCAGTCTGTACTCACTCATCCTTGCTTCTTGCTCCCTTTCTCTCGCACTCTCTTTCCTCCCCCATCGCAGTAATACGAGACTTGCAATCAATAGCGCATTAGTCTGGCCGGAAACTCTGGCTGAATTAAATATGAATGACTGAGATTGCAGCGCTACCTGCCTCTCCTCAAGAGCTGACTCAAGGCCCAGGGGGAGAACAGCTCAGTAAGTAGCTCTCTTATAGAACAAATCGCAAGGCTGGAGAATATTAGCTTGTGATAGAGTAAGTTCTGAGGAACCTCATTCTGGAGCTACAATATGTCATCTAACGCCACAGACCTGTGTGCTTTATTCTTGTTGCTTGTTTTTCTAAGACAATAAGTTCACATTTTCTTTTATCATCTGAAAAGCTTACAATAAACACCGGAGCCACTGTACGCTCGAAGAGGCGAGCACTCAGAATGGCACTTTGATGAGTTTTATGGTCTGTAGACAGAGCTTATACCAGGCAAATGGAATTAACGCACCGTTTGGCTTTTTGTGACAGATGGACTGATATTGTTCTCCGTATTCTGCCAGCCTCCAAACTGGTCACGCCCTCCCTCTCGTCCCTTTCTTAACAGATGCAGAGGGAGGACCAGGGCCCTCTTCTCATTCTGCCCATTGATTCGGGGTGCTTGGAGCTCCAGGGGCGTTGAGCAGGGGGTTGATGACTTCCTCTCGGTTAAAGAGAAGAAATCGGAGCAGCAGGCACTCTTAAAGGGCCGAACTGCGTGTACGTGAAAAATGCATTTTAACGCATGCAAAAGCAGGTATCCAACTTTTTGTCTGTGCACCCTTTAGACAGTTCACAGGCTTGAGATTTGCATTTTCCCACAGAAATGTTACCGTATATATACTGCTCAAAAAGATATAGGGAACTTAAACAGTACAATATAACTCCAAGTGTTCCCTTTATTTGTTTGAGCAGTATATATATATATATATATAGACACACACAACCGAACTGAACTTTTCTTCCCCCTTATCCAAGTCAACTCCACCATCTTATAAGACGAACCCCAGTTTGGTTTTTCTACTCACTTTGTTTGCATCCTGCATTGGATATAATACAGGGGGTCCCATAAAAGTCTCCATCAATAGTAGAAATGGACACTTTTTATCAAAATGCTGTCCAAAAATTCTTCACACTTCATTTAATTTATTTATATTTTTCTAATCACCTTTAAGAACACCTTTGACAAAAGAAGGACGTTCTGAAATCGTTCTCACGGCCGGAGCGGGAAACTGTTGCAAGATTGTGATGGACTTTAACAGGAAACACGGCGAGCACATCACGCACACGACTCTGTTGCCAAACTTATTAACAAATTCAAAAAGACAGAGAAGAAGTGGACGTCCAACAGCATCCAGTGATGAAGGCGCGACCGACGTGGTGCTGGCAAACATAGTTCCCTGGTGTACGTATGGAGACTTTTGGGACACCGTGTATAATGGAGCTAGATCTAAATCCTTTCTAAAACCTGTGGAATGACTTGAAGTGGATTGTGCGTGGGAGATCTGATAGATGTGGAGCATTTTTTAAGGAAGAGTAGAATAAAATGATCAAATCCAGAAGTGCTAGATGGTAGGCTCTTCCCAATAAAAAGACTGAGTGCTATATTCCAAGCAAAAGATGCTTTAACAAAATATTCTGCAAAAAAATTGATCTGCACTTTAATCAGTAGAATACATGTTATTATTTGACTTATAGTTGGATAGTTTCTGTTATAGCCCTTCTTTTGTCCTAATAACACCTTATTCTACTTTCAGAGCCAAGATTATTGGTGTTAGTCAATATAATAGATAATAATAATACCTTACTTAATACCTTACTAGTTCAGAGAGAGAGAGAGAGAGAGAGAGAGAGAGAGAGAGAGAGAGAGAGAGAGAGAGAGAGAGAGAGAGAGAGAGACAACTGGAAGAGAGAAGAGAGAGAGAGAGAGAGAGAACGAGAGAGAGGGAGAGAGAGAGAGAGAGAATGATAGAGAGAGAGAGAATGATAGAGAGAAAGAGAAAGAAGAAAAAAGAGAGAGAGAAGAGAATGAGAGAGAGAAGAAAGAGAATGAGAGAGAGAGAGAGAGAGAGAGAAAAAAAAAAAAAAGAAAAAAAAAAAAGAGAATACCATTTTCAGTCAAACAGCCATGCGGTATTTATTTAAGCAGGTCAATAATAAAGTGTAATATTACAAATAGAATATGTATAGATTTCAAACTGTTTTATGGTTGAATTTTTACAAATATTTTTAAATATATTTTCCCATTGTTATCATCCATTAATGTTCTTGTTCATAATTCCACAGAAAAGGTCTTCAACACCAAAAGCAGTATGAAATCTGTAAATCGTTTATTTGTGCAGCTTTATAAGTACGTATACTTTATAAGTACCGCATGGCTGTTGTAACGACAGTGGAATTAATGTACCGTACATTTACCCATCGTTATTATTTGCCACCAAATACTGAACAAAAGAAGTTTGTCGGAAAAGTAGCGCACAGTCTCTGACTTTTGTGCAGTACTGTGCTCAACTGAGATACGCACAAACCGGGTTTGGATGTGATGTGCTGCTGATCCACTCTGTTTGGTGGAGATGCACTAAAGGATGAGTGCAACAGAAGTGGTAGCATGGCTTGTGGATTGATTAATCAGATTTTAACACATTCAGTGGTCATTAGCCCTGCCCCCACTTCCCAGTCCAGCCAGGACAGTACAAATTCCATTAAGTGACCAGCAGCTGTCCAGCGACAGATGCCTCGCCAGTCCTGGTCCTCTCGTCCTGCTCCCTGGAGGCATGGGGGTCATTGTGAAAGGGGTGGGGTGGGGTGGGGTGGGGTATCCAAATCCAATACAGTCCTGTGGAGAAGATGTGATGATGCTCTCAGA